CCTGCCCCGGAGGTGACCACATGGCGTGGCAGACCTCTCCTGGCCTGCCTGCTGCTCCCCTCAGCAGTGTACTTCGTCGATCTGCCTGTTCTGCTCCCCACTCTGTCTCTGGTGAGGCCTCTCGCCGCCCCTGAGTTTTCTGGCCTGTACCCCAATTCTGTATGTACAAATAAATAAATCTTAAAAAAAAAAATACTATGATAGTTTGTAGCTGTAATTTGGTGGGGGGGGGGGATATTAGTCAATCTGAATAACATTCTATAGTCTTGAATACTGGGAAAAGGATCAGACCTAAACTGCATTAATCTCGGAAAACTAAGTTCTATAAGAGATTAAAGATGCCCAGCTTGAAAGCTTTCTTGAATTACTATATTTAGTAGATTAGAAAATGTATCTTATTTTCCAACATCCATGCCAGTGATTCTCAGTTCATGTCTATAGCCCCAACCTCACTTCTGAGTTGTTCAACATCTGTAGTGGGTGTCAACCACTACTTCAGTATGAATGAATATAGTGAGACTGCCCTCCCACATGTTCCCTGGATCTTTGATAATAATTTTATTAAGATATTATTCACAATTTCAAGTATACAACTCAGTACACAATTTCAAGCTTTTAGTAGATTCACAGTTGTATAACCATCACCACCATCAATTTTAGAATATTTTCATTACCCGCCAAAAAAGACGCCATGCCACTTACTGTCATGACCAATAACTTCACCACCACCACCTGCCCTTAGCACTAAGCGACCCTAATATACCAGCTTTCTAGATTTGCCTGACCTGGACATGTCATATAAATGACATAACCACTCTTTCATGAGTGGTTTCTTATACCCAGGGTAATGTTTCTAAGATTCCTCTGTAGCATATATAAGGACTTCATTCCCTTTTATGAACAAATAATATTCCATTGTATAGATGCCACATTTTGTTTATCCATTCATCAACTGATGAACATCTGGGTAGTTTCCGGCATTTGACCATATGAATAGTGCAGTTATAAACAAACATTCACATACAAATTTCTGTGTATATATTTTCATTACTCTTGGGTATACACCTGGGAATAGCTGCATCAATAAGTAAATATGTTTAACTTTTTGAGGAACTTCCAACATGTTTTCCTCAGTAACATTATACAACCTCAGCATTACCTGAAGATTCTAATTTTTCCACATACTCAACCAACACTTTTTAAGTATTTTTTTCCATCCTGATGGATATGAAGTATATATTATTGTAGTTTTGATTTTCCCTGTTTCTTTTATATCCACCATAAGTCACCCAGTTCCCCAGAAATACTTGAATTTCTTCAATACTTTTCTCTGCCACTGCTACTGTAAATTCAGATGAATTTTATCTTGTACTTGAACTATTCCCACAGCCTAACTGTGTAACTGTACTTTTTCCTATCACCCAACCAAAAGTTGCATTGAGCTTCAGTTGCAGCAAAAATAGGCCAATGCAGTTGAATTGAAAACCCAGAAATAAAGCCTTCCGTATTTCTAGGGATTAAGTCTCAACACTGCCACTGCAAAGTCCTGCCTCAGTGGCCTGAGCTTGAACCCCAGCGAAGGAGCTAACTAACATGGTGCAGCAGAACCTTCCTGTCTTGCCTACTGCTCCCCTTACCCTGTTCTGCTCCTCACTCTGGCCCACACCTCTGGCCTGTACCCCAATTACATGCAAACATAAAATCTTTAAAAATAAAATGCTAGAAATAAAGCCACACACGTATGGACAACTAATCTATAACAGAGGCACAATATGCTCTCAAATGCTGGGTAAACTGGACTGCTACAATGCAAAATAGTGAAACTACACTACTACTTCACACCATACACAAAAAACAACTCAAAAATGAATAAAAGGATTGAATGTAAGACCTGAAATGATAAAATACATAAGAGAAAACATATGCAAAACACTATAACTTAACATCTTATAACATCTCTGAGGACTCACTGCCAGAGGCTAAGAAAATGAAGGAAAAGTTATTTTTTGCTGGCACAATATCAAACCAAAAAACTACAGCAAGAGACAAGAACCAAAACAAAGAGTTCTACGGATTGACAGGAAATATTTGCATTCCATACAACTGGTAAGTGACTGATTTCAAAGCCCTACTAACAGCTCACACAACTCAACAAAAACAATGCAAACCAGTCAAAAATGGGCAGAAGAGCTAAAAAGACACTTCTCCAAAGAGGAAATGCAAATGGCCAACAGTAATATGAAAAACTCATGATCAAATAAAACCATAAGATACCACATCATACCAGTGAGAATGGAAAACTGGTTCAACCATATGGAAAGCTGTGTGGAAGCCCTCAAATTACTAACATGTAACTACCATATGACCCAATCATTCCACTCCTAGGAATCTACCCAAACAGCACAAAAACATTAATTCAAAGTGAAACCTGCTCTCCTATATTTATTGCAGCACTATTTATAATAGCTAAGATTATGGTTAAGAACTTAGATGTCACAAAACAGATGACTGGATCAAGATGTGGTACATATACACAAAGGAATAATATTCAGCAATCAAAAAAGATAAACCCGTGCTATGTGCAGCAACATGAATACATGAATGGAGCTAGTAGGGATTATGTTAGTGAAATAAGTCAAAAGGAAAAAAAATAGATGGTTTCATTTATAGGAGGAATATAGAGAAACCATCAGAAAAAAAAAAAAACTAGCAGGCAAACTAAATCCATGACAAAGCATGGGGAGACGGAAAGGGAGGAGTCAAAACAGGAGAGAGAAGAGCACAAGACAATTCAAGGGTGATGTAGTGGAATTTAAGGGGGTTATACATGAGGGGAGAAACCAAGCATTGTACAAAAATGAACAATGATATAAATTAATTACCAAAGGAAAAGACATTCAGTTCCATCTCTGGAGCCTTCCCAGAAGAAAAAAAATTGTTGTCCTCAGTAATTTCACAGATGTTCCTCAAATGAACACTTTGGCTTTTGTCTGACAAATACTAAAGTAACTCTGAAAGCACCTCTTCAAAGTGTGATTTAAATTCTTGGAGGAATAAACTAGTACTATTACTAAATTATAGACGTGTGTTAATTACCTGGGCTAATTTTTGTATACCAAGATGACCAAGGTCCCTACCCTCTGAATGTCAATATAGAACAGTTTAGCAAAAGCTCTAACGATGTCTTAACTGGGAGCTATTTAATATTTAACAGGTCTAAGGTTTCAAAGAGATCCACCATGATTAAGAACAACGAAGTTCTGTAGTTTCCATTTTATTAAACTACAATTGATTTCCTCGGTCCTTTAATTCACATGAAATTTGATTCTGATCTGTTACTGAAGGAAAATTAATAATCCTGGTACCACAGGTTATCTTTCCTTTAAAAGATAGTAAATCTAGGGCACTCATAAAGCATATGTTTTAAGTTATTTTCTAATTGTGAAGTTGGTTTGAGGTAAGCCATTTATGTACTTTCTGACCCTATTTGGCCTACAGCATGGGGCTTTCAGATGCCTAATTAAGACCAGAGGTGTAGACGATGAATGTGTGATTCATTCATCTTGATTGCAAAGATTAAATTTATCATTAGCATGTCCTTCTTCCTCTACATAATACATAATGTCTGATGCAGGACACTGTGTTCCAGAGTTTCTCCTCATCTTTTTAAAGCTTTGGATTCACATATGAAAATCAAAATGAGTATTTCTGACTGTAAGCAGATAAAGAACAAACCAGCAATCTCTGTGGCCTCTCTATAATTCATTATATGAGATTTTGAATTCTACATTCAACTGTATGTATTCTAATGCAAAACTCAGAAAACTTCCAAATAGTTCTCAAAAAACATACGATGCCATAGTTGCAAAAATAAAAACTATATGAGCAGTGTTAATAGTTTTAAATAATTCCATAAATGACACTGTAATTTAATTAGCCCCTTTCCCAAGACAATATTCATTTAGCAAAAGAGTTTGCGATAATAATACCCAGGGTAATAAGCCAATTATTTTGGCCAAAAGAATCTCCCCATAAAAATGCTAAGGTAATAAAGTTTATTTAGTGAGAGATTTAAAATTATGGTTTCACTGAAGCCACTGGTATCTTGCCACCCTGATTCTCAAAAGGTAAGCACATGGGAGATTCTTCCACTGAATAACTACTAATTAAAAAGCTAGACAGTTTAATGTTATTTTTTTCCTTAGATATTCATTCAGAAATGTTACTCAGATCTTAACATTTAGTTTCATTAATTCAGTTGCACTTAACACACAAAGATATTTAAGGCCAAATTCTAGCAAATTAGCAGAATCTTACAGAAAATCAGAAACAATGCTTCATTTCACTTAAACATTTTAATATTTTTCTCTGGCTTTTAGATACTCTAAACTGAAAATATTGGGCCTGCTGAGAAAATACCTGTCTTTTTAAGAAATGCATCTACTTTAAGTGATCCCAGTTAGTCAATTATTTCTTCCATATGGCTCAGATATGTTATGCCTCAGTTGGCCATGTATTTGACCTTTTATAAGAGGCAGAGAGTGGACCAGAGTTTGCCTTATTTTGGAATCTCCTCAGAAATGTCTAAATGTCTTCCAGATGAGCATACTGTGGACCAAGGGAGGAGCTAAGAATTAGAAATCATTGCCTCCAAAACAGGGGAATTTGTAGACTTCTTTTTTTTTTTTTAAACCTGGTGACCTAACGGAATTGACCCACTGGGCAATTTCCTTCACTCACAGCAGTATGATTAAGTCATGAAAACCACTCAGGTTGAGACATGATATTTATTTCTCTCTACACCACTTGTTTTTTAAAAAGTGAATTT